GCATCTTTCTGGGGGAAAAATGCAGTGATTGAATATAGTTTATTTATAGTTATTTTCAAATCTTCAATGTACTGTCATTATAAAAGTACTTCATTATTGTTTATTTAATTCTATTAAGTATATCAAAACTTAATGTTTGATTAGTAATATGCATTGCTAAGAACTTCATTTGGACAACTTTAAAGATGATTTTCTCAATATTTTGATTTTTTTAGCACCCTCAGATTCCAGATTTTCAAATAGTTGTATCTCGGCCAAATATTGTCCGATCCTAACAAACCATACATCATTGGAAAGCACGTTTATTCCGCTTCCAGATGATGCATAAATCTCAATTTTGAAAAATTGACACTTATGACTGGTTTTGTGGTCCAGGGTCACATTGTTTTATGTAAGTACTGTGTATAAATACAAATAAAGTTTGATGTACTGTTATTCAACTTTAAATATATTGCTGGGTGATAATATAGATTATGCAACTCTACAAACAATCAAGCAGTTGAGATTTTTAAATCTTATAATGTGCATATTTTTTGGTATATTATGTGTAACGTTTGGTAAAAACACAGGATCCCTATATGAGAAGCTTTGTCAGAAACGGAAACGCTGGCTGAGGCAGGATTGGTCAGTAAGGTTTTAAAAGAGATTTAATTCCCGAGAGACATGTTGAACCTGCTGTACTTTCTTCACAGAATCAAATAGATGGGCAGCTCTTCCTCATCAAACATCTCCTGATCATGCGCGAGCAGATCGCCCCGTTCCACGCCGACTTCGCCATTAAAGAGATCTCTCTGGATCTGAAGAAGACCAGAGGTAACAGCCACGCTTTTGTGAGGTTTGGGTGGATTTGAATGATCGCTGGTCTTTTTTTTAATAGATGTTCACAGCTCTGACAGAATGAGTGTGATAGATCTGACTGGTGCATTTTAGATATTTAATACAGATGCATATAAATTGGTGTTTTTAGAGTGTTTTTCAGCATTTTAAAACAAATATCTCAAAAAAAGATGTTCCCTGAATGTGTGCATAGCTTCGAGTTGTTGATGTTATGAAAGATAATGCAGAATGATTAGTTTTATGTAATATTTACTGGTTTGTTACTCAATATGAGTAAAAATTGGCTTTTGGGGGGGGTAACTAATAGGGCTGGGGTTTTTTGACAGAAATTTCACGATTCGATTCGATACTCATTCACAAGCTTACGATTCCATTCGATTCGATTCAATGTCGATTATTTTGGATATATATATATATATATATCAGGTACACATGCCAAATTTTCTCAAGGAAAAAAATTATCTTACCTAATGCTGTAAAATATACAAACCTGATTCCAAAAAAGTTGGGACACTGTACAAATTGTGAATAAAAACAGAATGCAATGATGTGGAAGTTTCAAATTTCAATATTTTATTCAGAATACAACATAGATGACATATCAAATGTTTAAACTGAGAAAATGTATCATTTTAAGGGAAAAATAAGTTGATTTTAAATTTCATGGCATTAACACATCTCAGAAAAGTTGGGACAAGGCCATGTTTACCACTGTGTGGCATCCCCTCTTCTTTTTATAACAGTCTGCAAACGTCTGGGGACTGAGGAGACAAGTTGCTCAAGTTTAGGAATAGGAATGTTGTCCCATTCTTGTCTAATACAGGCTTCTAGTTGCTCAACTGTCTTAGGTCTTCTTTGTCGCATCTTCCTCTTTATGATGCGCCAAATGTTTTCTATGGGTGAAAGATCTGGACTGCAGGCTGGCCATTCAGTACCCGGATCCTCCTCCTACGCAGCCATGATGTTGTAATTGATGCAGTATGTAGTCTGGCATTGTCATGTTGGAAAATGCAAGGTCTTCCCTGAAAGAGACGACGTCTGGATGGGAGCATATGTTGTTCTAGAACTTGGATACCTCTCAGCATTGATGGTGCCTTTCCAGATGTGTAAGCTGCCCATGCCACACGCACTCATGCAACCCCATACCATCAGAGATGCAGGCTTCTGAACTGAGCGCTGATAACAACTTGGGTTGTCCTTGTCCTCTTTAGTCCGGATGACATGGCGTCCCAGTTTTCCAAAAAGAACTTCAAATTTTGATTCGTCTGACCACAGAACAGTTTTCCACTTTGCCACAGTCCATTTTAAATGAGCCTTGGCCCAGAGAAAACGCCTGCGCTTCTGGATCATGTTTAGATATGGCTTCTTTTTTGACCTATAGAGTTTTAGCCGGCAACGGCGAATGGCACGGTGGATTGTGTTCACCGACAATGTTTTCTGGAAGTATTCCTGAGCCCATGTTGTGATTTCCATTACAGTAGCATTCCTGTATGTGATGCAGTGCCGTCTAAGGGCCCGAAGATCACGGGCATCCAGTATGGTTTTCCGGCCTTGACCCTTACGCACAGAGATTGTTCCAGATTCTCTGAATCTTTGGATGATATTATGCACTGTAGATGATGATAACTTCAAACTCTTTGCAATTTTTCTCTGAGAAACTCCTTTCTGATATTGCTCCACTATTTTTCGCCGCAGCATTGGGGGAATTGGTGATCCTCTGCCCATCTTGACTTCTGAGAGACACTGCCACTCTGAGAGGCTCTTTTTATACCCAATCATGTTGCCAATTGACCTAATAAGTTGCAAATTGGTCCTCCAGCTGTTCCTTATATGTACATTTAACTTTTCCGGCCTCTTATTGCTACCTGCCCCAACTTTTTTGGAATGTGTAGCTCTCATGAAATCCAAAATGAGCCAATATTTGGCATGACATTTCAAAATGTCTCACTTTCAACATTTGATATGTTATCTATTACTATTCTATATTCCTTTTTACCCCCCTGTAATTCAGATCCGAATTTCAAATGAAAATTGTATTTTTGTCACAAATTGCTGAAATATAATGTCAGGTCTTTAAAAACCAAGCTGAGGAAGTTATATTAGAAAAGTCCAGGGTGTCCTTTTTTAAATACTTGAATGAAATTCACAGAAATTGCACAATGAGCCGATACTGGAATTCAGGGAATGAGCAGCGTATGTATCGACTGTGAACTGATGAAATGTGCGTGTAATCGCAGTAAAGCTCCTCCAGATGGCAGAACGACATTTGTTTTTCTCCGTCCTCAGACGCTGCTTTCAAAATCCTCAACCCCAAGGCTGTGCCCAACTTCTTCCGTCTGAACAGCCATAACGCTATCCTTGAGTTTCTACTGCAGGTAACATCAGCTTCATTCATTCATTCATTCCATTTGGTGGGTCTTTTCTGCTCTTCAGAGTCTCAGACCCTCGCACCTGACTCCAGATCCTGATTAACGGATTAACGGCTTGCGTTTGAATCGTTCATCATACGCTGATGCTTTCACACCAGGGTACGCCGGAGATAAAAGAGCACTACATCGACTCGAAGAAAGACGTGGACCGGCACCTGAAGTCCAGCTGTGAGCAGTTCATACAGCAGCAGACGCACATGTTTGTGGGAAACCTGGAGGAGTTTCTCACCAAGGTCAGGATTCACTCGGAAATTCTCACTCCTGCAGTGCATTATGGGTCGGCAACCGATTACATGTAATCTGGATTACGTAATCAGATTCCAAAAATGTAATATTTTGAAATGCTAGTAATCAGATTACATTTACTTTTTTTTTATGGATTACATGTTTACATATTCACATTATAAAGCAGGTAAACAGCTATAATATTTCATATTTTAAGTGTTTTATTTTGATTGAAAGATGTAGTTTAACATTTTTATGATTTAATTTATTAAATTAGCTTTCCATTAAACTCAGAAACCCACTGCAGTTCCTAAACCTTGACGCAATGTAATGTTTATTGTACTTCATGTATGTATTGTCTCCTTGTATTTTCATATCAATACGGTACAAGATTTTCCTGTTTAAATCAATGTAATAAACACGTTACATCCAAAGTAATCAAAAAGTAGTCTGATTATATTACCTGAAATGTGCAATGTAAAGGATAATGTTGCTAACTACAATTTTTTTTATATATAATTTGGAATCAGTAACGGTGAAAAAAATATATAGATATAGATATATTTATTTATTTATTATGCATTATACAAATTATTATTATTATACAAGTTTTAGTCATACAAACTGTATTTATGATGTTAAAATTGTTTAATTTAAATTAGCATAATGCACTACATACTACCATATGAAATATATATTTGTTTATTTTTGTTTTTTTTAGCATTTTTTTACGCTAATGAGAATTTAGTGTACAAATGTGATGACATTGTATTAGTCCTGTGCTTTATTTTAGTGCAATGGTTTATTTTCATTATGTAAAATAAGTATATATATGTATTATTATTATTATTAATATTTTTATTTTTTTTTCCTCCTCGTTTGATTTTGGGGTGAATCGTAACCCACACTTATTCTTTGAAAGAATTTGTGAGATTCATGCAATTACACCGTAATGAGGCAAAAATGAATTTGCATCCAAATGCACAAACTGAGATGTACAGCCAAGTGTGTTCTTTTGAGGTTTGAAGACTCGAGTCAGTAATCTATCCAGCACTGCTCCACAAAATTATGACCAATGCAAATATGAACGTGCATAGTGAAGGTGTGTGTCTAGCTTAATGGTTTTATTTGAAATATTTCAAGTTAAAATGGGGTTTTATTTATTTAGTCTTTTAGTTTTTGTCTTAACGTTGCATAATGATGACCTCAGTTTGATGTTTTGGGGTAGAAACAAAACTTCTCTGCTCTCTGAAGCCCATCACTCTTTATAATCACAGGTAGCAGCTTTAAAAACGATGGCTGTTGAAGGAGGACCGACGTACAACTTCTCGCAGCAGCCCTGGGCTCAGACGGGTGAGTCGCTCGCGGATTAGATGTTTCATCAACTTCTCATCATATGATAATTAGCTCTAATTAGCTGTTTGATTACACTGAGTGATCTGCTGCGCAGCTACAAACACTTTTATATTGTTTAAGCCTGAAATTCTCTGATCGACGTGTAAAAGGCTAATGGCCTGTTAATTCACATATTACTTGATATTAATCTGAACAAAGAAAGATAATTGTTTGAATCTCATGAAAACATGTTTAATATGTATTATAATATAATAATAATAATTAGTAGTAGTATTACTATTATTATTGTATTATTATTCACATTTATATTACATTTGATATATATTTACATTACATAAGTAATGTGTAATAATACTTAATAAAATTGTATATATATATATATATATATATATTTCAGAAATATTAAATGGAATATAACTTTATTAAAATGTTATATTCAATTATACATATAAAAAATAGAAATTTATAAAATTTATTACATTTTATATATATTTACTTTATATAAGTAATGTTTAATTTATTTATATATATATATATATACATATATATATATATATATATATATACATATATATATTTCCAAAATATAAAATGTAATATAATTTGATTTAAATATTATATTTATCTCTGTGTGTGTGTATATACAGTGGGTACGGAAAGTATTCAGACCCCCTTACATTTTTCACTCTTTGTTATATTGCAGCCATTTGCTAAAATCATTTAAGTTAATTTTTTTTCCTCATTAATGTACACACAGCACCCCATATTGACAGAAAAACACAGAATTGTTGACATTTTTGCAGATTTATTAAAAAAGAAAAACTGAAATATCACATGGTCCTAAATATTCAGACCCTTTGCTGTGACACTCAAATATTTAACTCAGGTGCTGTCCATTTCTTCCGATCATCCTTGAGATGGTTCTAC